GGTGTTTTTACTTGTTTTATGATGAAAACTGATTCAAATTAACGATTTTACTTCTAAATTCATTGTATCAATTTTCGATCACATAGATCTATTTTTCGAATTCTTATAAAAACTAAATTTAAAGATAAAAGTTAAAATGTAGTTTTTGGGTATTTTATAAGAGGAATATAGTGATTGTGAAATTTTTATATAAGTCTACTAAATTGGCGTAATGTCGGCTTATGGGTTCGTCGGGTGTCATCCCATAAAAAAGCTATTATGCAAAATAAGAATTTTATGCCGGGAAGAATGTACAATAATTGTTGACATTTTATGGCGAAGCTGGATAGATGAGGAATTGCGTTACGCATACGTTATTTCATAGTTGGCATATTTCTATAACGCACAACAACGATTTCTATTTGCTTTGGTTAGATTTTGGTCACATTTTGAATTTACGTAAGAGTAAAAGTAAGTAAATAATTTGTCCTTGATAAACACAATTTGCATAACCCAATCAAAATGTGACCGCAATATATACTTACTTCGAGTTTTTAGCTAATCAGAAAGTGTTTATGAGCTGGTTAGACTTATTTTTAAATTTCATGCGCAAATCTATTTCAAGTTGAAGTAAGCGAAAAACAGATGGGTGTGTGTTTAATTAAGTCGATTAAGAACTTGTATGCTTTATCAAGATTTTGATGTACATTTGTATGTCTTATAAAATGAAAATAAAAAAAAAAAAAAACAAAAAAAAAAAAATTGTTAGTTATTAGTCTTAAAGTAAAGTAAACTATGAGATGTATTTATAAAAATTACACATTTTTTGCTTTATAAGATTTTAATTTTCTTTGTTTTTCTTTTGTGTTTTACTCTAGGAAACCAAAAAACACTGAAACACATACGAATTTGAGTGATTATGATTGTCAGGTTTTATGCTTATAACTTAAATATCATAGGCTACGAACAATTCTATATAAGAGATTTAAAAGCAGATAAAAGCATTAGCATTATAATAAGTTTTTTGTTAAGTTTTGTTAAGTAAGAGTTACTAAAATTTTAAAAATTTTAAAAATAAAAGAATACTTTTTGTTTACATTTAGTATTTCCTTCCTATCCAGCATAAGCATTTCAAAATAATGTTTGTTAATAAAAAATAAGACAAAAAACAAAATTCATAATTCACACAGATTATACAAAAATCCATACATAGAATTAAATTACATCTTTCTCTCATCTCACATTTGAAAAAATACACAAAAAAAGGGCGAATTTTCAAAACAATATTTTGCGAAAAAAAAAAAAAAAATTAAATAAATAAATAAAACTTAGCAAGCAGTTGTTGCTCTATATGTTTGTCGTTTGCAAACAACAATACAAAAAAGCTAACGGATGACGGTAAGCGCGGATATATAAAAATTTATATAAATTATATATCTTGAGATAATTCTTAGATACGATATATATCGGCAATAGGCCGATTAGGATCATTTTTGATGCTGTGTCATTAAATGTCTCATATAAGCGTTTGCGTAAAGTCTGAGAATAATATCTAAAATAAGGTATAATATTAACGCTGACGGTGACTGTAGTTGAGAAGTGAATTGTTTCATTTATTTTCTTCATTTTTTCGTTTGTTTGTGTGTGCTTGACTCGAGTCATTTTTCAAATTTTGTTCTCTGATTTTCATTTTATATTCAATATTGTGTTATCTCAACCATAAACAATGGACGGACAGATGATTTCGCCAAAGTGACATGGAATCTGGACATTAATTTTATTATGGATAAGGGGTAATACGTGGGAACGTTCACATCCTTCAATGGTGAATACAATGCAAGATGGAGAAGGAAGAATGTGAAGTGAAGGGCTTATTAATCTACGCTAATGTATTGTGTATGTATGTATGTATGAATGTATGTATGTATGTATGCATGTACTTAGAAGTATTTATAAAATTTTCTATATAATAATTATATTTTTCTCAACTAATTACATTTTTTTATATATAGTAATTATTTGTTTGTTAATTTCATATGATTTGTTTTTCTTTAGGTTTAATTTTTTTATTTTTTTTGTAAATTTATTTTTACATAAAATTAATATAATAATCGTTAGCATCATCAGACACAAAGTATGCTTAATTCTAATAAATATATATGCATATACATACACTCAGACATACATATATACATTCATATATATTGTATGCATGCATGCATGTATATAAATACATTATTATATATGTTTTATACAGAATATTGAAAAAAAAAAAAAAATTTTATATATAGACTTATATATGTTTATATATATATATATATATATATATGTGTGTGTCTGTTTAATTACATGTAATTGTGTTTATAATTTGTTTTATATTTGAGGTAAATTTGGCAAACAATAATTAAATGATTATTTATTTAATTCTTTATTTTTTTTTAATTTGTATTTAAAATTTTTCAAGTGGTAGAGTATACCGAGAAATCATTTTTTTTTTTTTTTTTTCCTTTTATGTTTATATTTCTATATTTTAGCTAAAAGAGGAAACAGAAAATTCGAACATTCAGATAAAACATTGAAATGAAAATTGTTAATACGAAAACAAAAAAAAAAAAAAAAAAATAAAATATAGAAAATAGAAAGAAGTTCACATCTTTCAAGCACATCACTTTTTCCAATTGTAAATAAAAGAAACGAAGAGAAAGAAGGAAATTTGAATTCGTCCTGAGGCGAATTTTAGATACGCATTACTTTGAATGATGGAAAATTGTAATTAATTGACATTATTATCTCTCCTCACCGGGATAAATATCAGTTGAACTATAAAAGATGCGGACCGTCGTGCGGTGAGTTGATTGAAAACAATTCGATTATTTCGTTAACATTAGATGTTCAATAGCGCAACGATTTCGGCATAAGAATAATTGCATAAAACTCTCAAGTAAATCAATCCAACTTCTCAAGATATCCATGAGGGCTAATGAATTCGATTCTTTATTAATTTCCTTATAAAGCACGGAAGAGAAAGTTGCATCTAATTTTTTAATTTAAAAAATTTTTTTTTTTTTTTTTTTTTTTTGATTTTGATATGAAACTTGATAACGGATATTGAACCAGACATACATATTGGTTTCGTTTCAATTACATCTCTCGATTATTACGATTGCAAGCGCTATAGTAATAAGCGGACGGATAGACGGAAAGACTCTAGCCAGAATATGGCCAAGTCGGGAGTAAATCTAACAGTGATAAATATTCTTGGGACATTAAACACTTATGGAACTTGCATATGAATTTATTAAACGCTCTTAATTTGCCCAAATCTTAAAGTTGATTAATAAATAAAATTTCATTTTCAAATGTGTTTTTCATTTTTCATTTCGAAACACACTTCCATCTCGCTTCGCAAAACTTCAAGTTAAATTTCTTTGTTACTTAAAAGAAAAGAAAAGAAAAAAAAAAACGAAACGAAACGAAACGAAACAAAGAAATTGATTTTCATTTACAGTTGGAAATAGTTTAGACTTTAAGTTCGGTTAACGTAGCAAAAAAGTTTTTATTTTTGCATAAATTTATCTTGTTTTTGTTTTTTATTACTAATTTTTTCTTTAATAGACAGACAATTTTCAATAATTTTTTTCTTTTTCTTGCTTTTTTCTTTTTTTTTTTTTATCTTCTTATATATTTTTTTAAATGTTTTCATAAAGAAATATTTATATGATTTTTTTTATTCAGTTTGCTTTATCATGTCCGACGTTATGTTAATAATTTATATTTTTTATTATTATTATTATTATTTATTTTTTTTTTTTTCATTTTTTTTATTATAATTTCGAATCATTTCTGACCTGGTCTTGATTTTTTACATATGTTAGGCAAGAAATTTATTTAATTTCTTCATTTTTCGAGCCAACAGAACATTGTCCAGAAGACAATCTCTTTGCACTTTTGTAAGAGATGTGTTATAGTAGATGTAGTCATAAAATTAATATTTTCTTATCCACATTTGTTGTTTTGTCTTCTTTTTGTGTGTTTTATTTTTATTTATTTATTTTTATTATTTTATTTTTTTTTGTGTTGTTTTGCATATTAATTCTAATTCATTTTCAAATAATTGCTATTCACGTCCACTTTCTTTCATTTTGTGATATTAATTTGTTATGCTTTCTCGATTCCTTCCGACTAGTAGTACTTTTGTAAATGATTTTAAGATAATTGTGTGTGTGTGTGTGTGTGTGCACGCGCGTATATCTTTTTATGTATTTGTATTTATGTTTGTATTTATGTATGTATGTATGTGTGTACGTATGTACGCATAAATGTGTATTTGTTTGTTTGTATTAATATACATAGCATTTAAACTTTTTAATTATAGTATCGGTGGTGGTGGTGGTAGTGGAATGATTATTCGCTTTCGCTTTCGCTTACGCTTACGCTTACGCTTACGCTTTCCCTCTTTCTCCTTTTGTTCTACTCACTCGTTTAGTATAAAAGTGATAATTGCAGTAAATAACTGTTTGCAGCTTTTCATATTTGTGCTTTATCTTAAGTTGATATCCCGATTATGATTGAGTAAAGCAACTAATTAGAAATCTTTTGCACTTTTTTTCTTTACATTTTCTCCGTTCTAATTATATATATTTTTTTCGTTTCGTTAATATTGCATTAAGAATGCCGTTAATTTTCCTTAACTTTCTTTTTCTCTTTCTCTCTCTCTCGTTTGGTTTCTCGGTCTCTCTTTCTTACTTATCTTTTGTCCTATGATGATAGTGATGATAATGATGATGATAATGATGATAATGGTGATAATGATGATGATGATGATGACAATAATGACAATGAAGGTGATGGTAACGATAATGATAACGTTGGCGATAATAATGCTGTACATAATCATATGTACCGTATAGCGAATTAATTATTGTGATTATCATGTCTCGCTGCTGTAGTCTTATAATATTTCTCTCTTTATTATTATTATTATTATTATTAATAAATTTATTTATGTTTTGTATATATGTGTACATATATATATACACATATACATGTATATATATATGTATATATATATATAATGTTTGTTGATTTGTTTTAATGTAGGTGGTGTTGGTTGATCTATTTAGTGCAGTATAGGTAAAGTTTGTTTTCTCTTGTTGTGAGAAATCTATTTTTAGGCGGCTATGGCCTCATTTTGCCGTCATTCCCATTGATGTGGCGATGGCGGCAATTCGGAAGGATGCGCTACCGTTGAACTATAACAAGAAAGGAATAAAATAAAAGAAAAAAATTTTTGCTTTTATCGTTAATTTTTTTTTTTCTTTTTTTTTTTTTTTTTTTTTGCTTTTTTTTTATTTATTTTTTTTAACTAAATTTTACTATAAGAGATTTAAAAAAAAAAAAAAAGTACAAACAACATTTTTTTTTTTTTTTTTTTACTTTTAATTTTAAATTTATATAATGAAAATATATTTGCATTGGGATCAAATTTATATATAATAATTGAATTATATATTCAAATGATAATGGCGTTAATTGCATTACTAGAATCGATTAATTTGCTTATGCTGCTTTTGTGGTCATTTGTGGTCATGGGGTCGCTTTTTAATTCAATGACTTGACTATTAATAAGAATAATCATCGCATTCCGTACATCGGAGACTTAGAAGATATATGGATTCAATGATGGGTGCCATCAGAAAATATCGATTGTTTATATTGTGTTGTTCGTCTAATTTTTGAATGTCTTATAAGAATTAATTGATTGCGAGAGAAGGTCTCGAAAATGAATATTCAACTTATCACGTTAGCTAAGGGCTTACAATCGAAAGCGTTGCATTAGCTTTTTCTCTAAATCATTAAAGAGTTTAATCGGTGTCACTTGTAAATGTAATTTGCCATTGGTGCTGATTACAATTTTACTTCACCAAATGAAATCAGAAAATTTTCACATATTCGAAAAAGTTTTATTCATCGTTTTTATAGTTGTGCAAGTCGAATCCGTTCAAGCATATCTTGTATAGATTTGGAATTCATTAAATACAACTGTTGCGATCTGCAACCGCCTAAAAGCTCGACAAATAAGGTAGACAGACCTATGCATAATGCTGGGGTATACCAAACAAATGCCCATCCATTACTTTTTGGGGTATAACGTTATAGGTATATCGTAAGTTAACTTTATGGGGGATACAACCAACGAACAAGTAAATAACGTAACGTAAAGAAAGAGAATATGGTAAGACTGTACACTGGAACACTGGTAAAATTTAATGCAAAATGAAACCCGTAGTAGCACCCGCAACGGTGCTTATGCAGGGGAACATCAAAATACAGCAAGTAATTCTTGTGGGTCAGCCAATGTAAAAATAACGTAAACGTCCTAAATGAATTTTAGGCATTTTTATTCTAACGAACACTCACTCAATCCCACTTTTTTCTTTTTTCATTTGTTTTGAATCAACATTTCTTTTCATATTATTAGTTCACATTTCTCACAAATCATAGTTAGCGAGCATAGTAGCATAGTAATTATCAAGATTTTAGAACGTATCAGAAGAAAATTGTTGAAAAACTGGAAAGAATTTTCAAACGAATTTCGCGTACTAAAGATTATTGATCTCATAACACGTAAACGTGAATGTTGTAACGAGGTGTTGCGAGGTGCTTACGGATAAGCTATCGCAACATAGTCTACATATAATTTATATACCATCTTTCTTCCCTACAAAACACTCTTCTCAGACATGTATGTCTGATTGAGAAACATAGCATATGTAAAAAATATCTTCGGTCTCGTGCATATGTCGTATTACTATTCACATACCCATACAATATCTGGATGGTACTCGGCTTTCGAATGAAACGCATCAAAATTTCATAACATTCCGATCATTATTAGTTTATTTTATTTTTTTTGGTTGCTTTGGACAACTGTTGTCGCAAATTTGACTCTGGAGTGTAGTGATGAATCCATCTTTCACTCATTGTCAAAATGTTTTTTTATTCGCCTAAACAGCGCCAAACAACGCCAAGCGGCGCTCAAAAGCGGGCAAACGCGACAATCCCTTCGAACAGAACTTTCTTTTCGATAATTCGTTCATGTGAAATAGTAGCTGCCCTTCTGATATCAATAGGGTGTCATCCGCTATTTCAAGCAACTTCAAACCGTTTTTGTGCACTTTTTTATGTTTTCTGAAGCGACTGGTAAATTTTGGGAGGGGGGCGGAGGGGCGAGAGCATTCAGAATCGTGTTTAAAATTAGTAAGACAAGAGTCGCTATAACGCCCTTCAAGTTAATATCTCGCTTGAACGTTGCTATCTGGGTTACTATCCAGAAATCATATATGCCTGTTAATAGTGCGCGAAGTGCTCCGCGTCCGACCGGAGACTTATCGAGTGCTACTTTATATACACACTCATATAAAAATAATCAGCTCGCGCAAACATACATGCGTATCATACATTGTAACTTAGTCATTCTGAGCGTACAGTCAGTCTACTATGTAATTCATATGCCGTTGTATAAAAGCTTTTTGTATGATCGTTATCTACGTACTATTTACAGGCATTTTAAGAAAGCGGCACAGCGAAGATAGTATGAAAGTTCAACGCGTAAGTACACATTACTCGTTTGTCCTTTGCGCTGCGGCAATTGGCAAGATGTGTAGAAAATAAACCAGATCGTAGAGAAATATATATGAATTAAGTCGGAGCAACTTGAAGACTACTAGTCCGCTAGGCGGGTTTTTATGTTGGATAGAAAATAGCAATTTCTCAGTTACTTAATTGGAGAAATCATAAGCATTAATCGAGCCGCTACCGCCACCAGCGTTAATACATCCAATATTGATCAAGTTAAGTTGACGAGAACAAATACGTACACATTGCTAGAATCGAGCGCAAAATAAGAAAAGTAACGTAAATCGTTTACAAAAACCAAGCATAACGCCCATCGAGGCACGCACTATAATACTAGCTAAGGCCTGCCTGAAGATTACTATACCCGCTGTGCTAGTCCCCCCCCCCATATCACGGGGAAGAGAGAGATAATTTTTTCTTTCTATCTGTCATTGTGAGTCGAGCAGACTAGTAAGGCACTGAATAGTTAATAAAGAAAAAGGTAGCATTGTTCAATGTCTTCCATTCTATTTATTTGTAATGAAATTAATTTTTTTGAGCTTAACATCTCCATCAAATTAGCCATTGTAGGCTATTAAAGCAAAGTATAAATGTGTGTTCATTGATTACGGACCAGCCTGTCCTTTATTATATAAATATATCTGATCATCTGCTCTCGTGAGCCATGCAAGCGAATGAAGTGCGCTTGCTTTGGATGCAAGGAATTTTTAAAGTGAACTTGACGAAGAAATTTTTTTATATTTAAGTTTCTTTTGTAATATACAGATAGATGGTAGTAAATGGTTAGGAATGTGCTTTCTTGTACTTTCAGAGCATTTGTTAGTTGATATGATTTTGAAAATAAATGTTTTTTACCTTTCGTGCCATTAAGTTTTAAAAATGTAATTCTCTCTCTTCCCGGTTTATAAAGTTACACGAAAGTAAGTAAGGAGTAAGGAAAGTAAATGTATTATATATAAAATAAAATTGGAGATTTAAATTTCTTAAAGTATATGTATATACATGAAGTTCGTAAACGTTTTAGAAGAGAGATAGACACAAGCATTCAAGCATTATTACTGCTAAAGTATTTTTTTTGGCAGACCTAATCTAAGAATGCATTTGAGCAATTGGGCAATTGGAGGACAGTTCCATCTTGGTTTTTAATGTAAAACTATATTTTTGGATATATGTACCTCTATCTGATAGGCCTGTGATATTTTGTTTTCAACTAAAAATTATATGCAATAATATAATATAATATCTGTCTACATATATATCCATATATATATATATACGCATAACTATGAATCTATTAAATTTTCATAGCTATAATGGATATAAACGGATAGAAATTAAAGCTTTTTATGAAAATGAATGCCTCTGTCGGTGGCACATCATTTATTGTTTGAAACGTAAAGAAGGCTATGAGAACTCACTTTGCAAATGTATTGACTTACATTTTATTACATGTTTTCTCAATTAAAGGCCAAGACTTATGTATAATGAATAAAAACAAGAACAAAAAAAAAAAAAAAAAAAAAAAAAAAAAAATTAAAAAAAAA